ATTTAAAATATATTCTGTAGACAGGCTACAAGAATGAGAAATTTACATTTTATTGATATTTAACATCAATATTATGAGGACATAAACTGGAAATTGGATTTAGAGTACATTACCCTCAGTTACTATTAAATTAATAATTTGTTATCGGCTACTCATCTGTATTATGGTCTTTGAAATTGGATGAGTAAAATTCACGTTGCCTCTTTGTCTTTAGATCAAAAATCTCGCATTTCAAAAGGCGATTGGTAAAGATTTTTCTTTAAAAATCTTCACAAAGATAACGATGATGATAATATTTTATAGAAATGATTTCGATAATTTGATCTTTAATTCGGAATAAAGCGGATGATCGATTTTTATGATCATTTAACGAAACAGATGACCATCAATCAAATCGATCAACCGAAAGAAATTTTTTAGATTAGAATGATTAAACTTTATACATTTAATATATTTTTTTAAATATATTACATAATTTGTATACATTTTGTATTCAAAACAGATTATACTCCTTAACACGAAAGCATTTCCACTCGAATTAGAAGTTTTGCTACCAACTTCATAACCCTCCTAAGATTTACTTAAAACCGAAATCTCCGTTTCTTATTCAAGCGTTATGCATCGCAATTCACTCGCTTCAGTTTTAGCGACATTCGTAGAATAAAAAAAATCTCATTAGTGGTCTCCATTTACATATCATTTACCGAATCGCGCCTTTCAAACTACTACTTTACCACATTTCTACTTTTGAATATGCAAGGAGCTAGATCAACTCGCCTACATAACTCACTACAAGCCATGCCATTTCAAAATTGCGTTATAAATTTATAAATAACGTTAATTTAATTACAGTTTTAAGCAATTAAAAAGAAATTTTATGTTAAAAAACCATCGATGAATTTTTAGAAGATTAAGATAAGAAAATTTCTCCGTCTTTCGGGTTAACTCCGGTGAATATTAAACGATTTATTTCTTCTGATAGATTTTTATATAAATCAAATGATGTTATAATATATTAATATTTTATAATATAACCTTAAAAAAGGATCCAAAATGGCGCTTGTTAGATGCACCCTTTTTTTGTCGATGATTTTCCCAGCAGCGTAATCAAATTAGACATTTGAACAGGGATTTAAACATGAAAACATAAATCAAACTCTCTTAAAATTCTAAAGTTTTTCTCCTCCCTCTATTTACGATTTTCTTGATGGTGTATGCGCATTTATAACACGAAATAACTGGCTTTATATACAGTATATAAATGCATTTTATAAATATTCGATTGTCTCCATGTTTTATATCCATGGAAATTGGCGATGGCTATACCTACAATAAATCTATTCTATTTTCAAAACAGGAAATTAAGTCAAACGAGACACGTGTATATCAGAAATCGGTAAATATTATTAAAGAAATAAAGTCAAATAAATTATTTTTAGGTGCGTTTTTTTTTCTTTATTTATAATATTATAGTGCCTACA